ATGATAGAACATTTTCATGTCTTCAACCATACCTACACCCCCTTCCATCCCACCGCTCGACGGCCATTGTGGAGGGTAAAGTGGGCGGAGTTGGAGGTGTGTCTAGTGGTCGCAGAATCAAATACTATGGGTGTCCCCCAAGAGGCCCATCGCGCGGCGAAGGAAGAGACGCGGGCAAGGACGAGTCGCAGCGCGTGCTGTGCGATATGAGACGAGTGTAGTATGGTACACTATTTAACCTGACGCCTAACCGCTACAGTATGCGCTGCGACTCGTCCTTTGCCGCGTCTGCGTCTCTTCCTTCGCCGCGCGATGGGCCTCTTGGGGGACACCTAAATAGTATAGCGGCCATCCATGATGGTGGAGGTGGTTTTCGGGGAGAGGGAGCGGAGTCGTATTGAGGGAGTCTCCTAGAGCACTGATGGTGTTGTGGGGAATCTTATGGATACCCCTATGTAAAATTTCCGAAATCTGTGCAAAGCACGGTTGACTCTGAGATGAGGTGAGGAACTGGGTCGATTGTGGGATTGGGGAACTAGCTAGGTCCAAACACTAACACACATGCAAGGAAGAGCGTGCATAGTTCCAAGAATGGGGTGTGTAGGGAGGCATGGATAAAAGCCGTTATTTGGCACGCTTCCTGTGCGTACTGAACAGTGAAAATAGCGCTAGTTCGGCAGATGAGGTCCGATCTACCTCGTCAAGAGGAGGAATCGTTGCAATGAATTTTCACCGAATATGCCTTTAAAACTCAACCGGGTTCATTGGCTGGACTCATTTACAACTTGTGGGCAGTAGGACTGGTGTTATCGATTTCACACCATTTCATGTGCAGAACAGGAGTCTTGGCACAAATGGCGCCCAGATCAATTGTGCGAGCCTTGAAAATCTTTTGACCTCCCCTATCGCCCTACTTCGGCCGGCCTAGAATAAAAATTCTGCTATTTTTTACGTCTTTCAAATCATTATTTTTCTCAGTCCCCTCTTTCCTATCCCTGCTTTCTTTTCCTTTTCCTTCTTGAAATGGGACCAGTGCTACTCGTCTTTTCCTTCAGATTTTGAGATACACTCTCAAGTCTGTTTCAATCAATAAGTAAACAAGTTCGAGAGCAACGCACTATTTATTTTATTAGTTTCACGATGCATCCATTCTGTGTGTCAATTTTCTTCAGTTACTGGGCGCAAAACTAGTCGGGTGGGGGGGGGGGGGGCAGAGGGTTGTGCTTTGTTTTGAATACGGTAGTCGTGTAATGAACGCAATGACTGAGATGGGATGAACAGTAAAAAGATAATTTGAACCTCTCAAAATAAAGTGAAGAGATAATTGGAACCTGCCAAAAGAAATTCGAGGAGGGAGGGAGGCGCAGGGGGTGCGGGTGGGGGAAGGGGGTGAGCGCCGTGACTGTAACTTCTTTTATTACTACCGTGTTCAAGATCGAGCATACTCGTCCCCTTCCCCCCGTCACGTCCACTAATTTTGCACTTCTCTTTGTACAGCTTTTTTCGAAATTTTTTTCCTGTTTTCTTTATAAATTTTTATTTTCATTCGATGATATTGATTTTTATATGCAAGGAATATAATTAAGCATCATTAGTTGTATAATTATGTTGATCAAAAGAAAATTACTGGAGAAATTTAAAGTTTGCATACTGTCATACCAGTCGAGCAACCTCTCGGAAAAATGCTACACCGTGGTTGAAATCCGGAAATACCAGACTGCCATAGCGTTTCACTTCGGGCAGAGGGAACACTTTGATCGTCACCTGAAATCTAGAACTCGCTTAAAAGAATTTCTCGAACAGAAAAAAAATGTGTTTGTTTTGGTGAACAATTCGAAATACTAGAAAGGCTGTAACGCGTTGAAATCTCCGCCGTACATCTGTCACAAATGTGGGGCGGGACCGCTAACACTTACTTCTTGAAGTATCATCACTAAAAACTCTTTTTGGCGTTTCTCCCTTTGATTTAAATATTTCTCTCTTTGTTTTGTCTCTATTCTTCGAATTCGGATCCTTTTTTTTCCATTCTTTCGATGTGTTGGCTGAACGTAGCCGCCCCCAAAGCGTACTTCTTTCCATGCGCTCCTTTGGCTCCGCCCGATTTACCGGCCACTGTCCGCAGAGTGTGATTTCGTGGCTTTGTTTCTCCATGTTCTGGTTGGGAAGGAATGCAAGAATTTCCCGTGCATGATTTTATCGAAGGTGGATGCACGAAAAGTTAGTTGCCCATGGAATGAAATGTAGATGTGGAAAACGGTATGGTGGTGAATAAACGGGCCGCAGCAAAACATTATCTCTTCTCCCCTTGATTTTGCGTTTGGATACCATGTGAGCCAGCCTTTTTTTTTTTTTTAACCTTTTTTAATTTGGAATCATCCCCCATGTTTTGCTAAAAGGTGCCACGATCTTGGCGGTAACTTGAGTGTACCGAACATTTTTTTATAGTACTCCCGTTTGCCCTTCTTCTGTTTGCGTTTGCTTCAATTTATCGTGGCACCTGCCTTTACATTCTCAGCCTTCTGTAGTCAGAAGACCAGTAATACGTAGAAAGTCACGTATTGGTCTTTGTTGCGCCTACTAGTAACCCCGTTTCCAAAGCCAGCTGGTGGATGCAAAAGAGTTTTGATGGAATTTATGGACGCACAACGCCTGTTACATCGCCGATCCGTGTAGACAGGGGACAAGCGTCGAATGCAGCTGCCCCTTCACCAGCCTCGAAAATTGCTGCGCCCAAGCAACCAAATCCACGGAGACACTAGAATTCGCTCGGCTCAATCCAGCAACACCTCAGGCTTTCGCCCATCGGCGCTATCGGCTGCCTGTTGCTGTAGTGGCCAAGCGTGTGTTGAAGTCAAGTGGAGGCTAAGCGTTCTCGAACTCGGCCGAATACGTGTCCCTTCCTCCATCGCAGTTGTCGGAAGTGCAGCAACCTTGAAACGACGGTGCTTGTTCGTGACCCGCGACCAATGATTGTAGACTTGTCTCTGCTCTCTCTCCAGAGCCACTTTTCACATAACGGGAGCAGCTTCATTTATGAAGAGAGCGTTGCCACGACGTAATTTCTGTCATCCGAACTTGCCTTGATTGGGCGGATTTTGGTAGCTGAAATATGCTTCTATGGCTGATTGTGACGTGAGCTAGTGTAGCCGTCTGAATTGCAAGTTTTTGTCTAAGCATTTAATGCATATACGAGGTGGGCTGTAGCTCATGTAGGGTAAAACTCTACCAGACCACGCCAGCGGCGTGGTGTACCGATGTGTGAGTGTATAAATGCATGAAATTCCACTTTTGTTCGGGAAAAAGGTGAGCAGCAGCATGGTGGATGAGTTGACGGCGAAATATTCGCAGCGGCGTGCAACCTCCAACTAGATTTAATGAAAAACCTCTAGACTTCAGGACAGCAAAGAATTTGGAAAAGAAGGTTAGCTATGCCTGAGGCGCGATAAGCATGCTGACAATGAGTTAGCTACAGGCAGAGTCAACCCTGCGTTGCGCAGTTCGCAACGGCACGTTGAGAGATCCTCAACGCACGCTGTATGGGCGGAGACGCAGACGGCTCGAGCATGCGAGTGTGAATGTTCGCGCGAGAGAACGTGTCTAATCGGGCGAAACTGCGCAACGTGGCCGTTGAGAACTGCGCAACGCAGGGTTGACTCTGGCTACAGCTCCCCAATAGGCGGTGCCTTCCTTGGCTGATAGTGCTTACCGCTCGTGTTGCACAGCCAAAGGATACGGAACAAGCTGAAGGCTGAGAGTTAAGTGGGTAGAGACAAGCGAAAGATGGTAGATTAGATGTTCATGGTGGCTACACCCTAGGTGGCTGGAGCTAATCGGAAATTACAGTTGCCCGCCCAAATTATATTGCTTATGCCTGTACGGAGCTTAGCTGGTATTAAAAATTAATAAATTGATCAAGCAGCAACAAGTAGAAAAGAAATAATTGCTGGTGAATCTCATGGGATTCATGGAAAAAATTGTAGGAAGGAATGCGATGAAAATAAAAATAAAGGAAAAGAAATGGAAGTTGATCAAACCTCTGTCACCACTCCCAGTGTTCCCTCCGAGCCCATTATGACATGATGGATATCGGGTCCGCTAGAGATGCGCGGCACCTGAACCAGGCAAAATTTATCATGATTTATTCAGCAATGATCTTTTCCTTGTTGAATACACCACATATCAAATGTACCGTAATTACTCACATTTTTATTTTATTAACTAATACACAAGGTTTCCCCCTTTCAAAAAGCGAGAAGAGCGTCGGGTGCAGACCATACACCACAAGTGACGACGGCCTCCAAGTAAATCTGGTTAGTAGTGGTTCATAGTGATAGCTGATTTTTGGTAAATGATAGTTGTAATTAGTGACAACTGATAGAATACAACTGCAACAGGCTAATCATTTCATTGGCAGAAAACATTACATTTTGTGGGGGCGTCGTCACTTGTGGTGTATGGTCTGCACCCGACGCTCTTTCGTTTCTTTTTTGAAA